TATTAGTACCCATACTGTACTATAACAATACTCTACTATAGTAATAGAATATGCTAATAATGGGGAAACTGTGGACTATGCTGCTGCCTGTGCCATATGCAAAGTTTTTGTGCATGTAAAGCCATTCCAAAAGGAAAATATACTTGAATAGAAAGTAACCTGAGGTTGGGAGTCCAAATAAGTTGAAAAATTGTAATGCTCAAAACTAAAACAGAGGTAGTTACATGAAATTCTCGGGTTAAAATCACCCCGAGAAGTCTTTGGCAATGATATAGCAGAACTTTAGAGCGCATTTCAAAAGAACATATGAATAAACAATCAACCCAGATCTTTATTTATTCAAAATTAAATAGAACCAGGTGTGGTGACGCACGCCTTTAATCCCAGTACTCAAGAGGCAGAGGCAAGTGTATCTCTGTGAGTTCAAGGCCAGGGCTGTTACACAGAGAAACCCTGTCTCAAAAGACCAAATGCTAGTAATAATAATAACAACAACAATGAAACCCTAGGATCCACTGGTAAATTCTATCACATGTTTATGGGGAAAATACACACCAGCTTTCTCCAAGTTCTTCCAGAATTCCCTTCTTTTCCCCAGCACTATAGTACTTCTAAAACAAGATGGAAATATTGCAAGAAAGCTGCAGGCCAGCATCTCATGAGTATAGGTATAGAAATCGTTTTAAAAAGCATCAGCAAACTGAATCCCCACAGTGTACAGAAAGGACACACAGTAGCCATGTGGATTCTCTCCTGGGCTTTTGGGAACCTGATTCCGTACAGTTAGTAAATTAACAAAGGGAAGAAGAAAGCATGTGCTGACATCAATAGATGCCAAAAACACGCTGGACAGACAACTTTTCTTCGTGGAAAGTAAAACAAACAAAACCTCTCAGAAAACTAGGAGAACGGGAACTGCCTCAGCTTGGCAAAGAACAGACCCCAGACCGGCTGCAGTTAATGTCATTCCTAATGTTGGAAAGTTGCTTTCCTGCCGTGTGAGTGTAGACCATGAGGGGACGTCAGGATGTCACCCTTTTACATTCCAGTTCAGGCACAGAAGGATGCGACAGATACAGACTGAAGATGTGACACCCTTTACTCTTAGAATTTAGTTCTCAAAGCAAGGTTGTAGGTTACAAAACTGATGTACAAAACCCAGTGGCTTTCATATAGACTAGAAATTAACAATTGAAATTTAAAATGAAAACACATTGCTATTTGCATTAGCATGACCCCAAATTTAAATACTTAGATTTTTTAACATACAACATATTTGAGAAAAACTGTGAAATTCCGGTAAAGGATGCGGAGAGTAGCTCATGCTGTGAGTGCACAACCCCAGCATTGTCAAGATGTCAATTTTCCCATGGTGGCCCTGAGATTCAACACACCACCAGCCAAAACTCCCGTCGACATATTTTGAGATCTTGTGAACACATTTTTTTATGGAGAAACAAAAGACTCACGTCAGTGTTGGAGGAGGGGACAGAACTGAGGAGCACCATTCCTGGCCTTGAAGGCTTGGGACAGTAACCCGGGAGCAGCAGTGGTCATGGGGCCTGCAGGCAAAGGGTACAGATTCCACCAAGGAGGCCAAGCATGCTGTGGAACAGCACTGTTCTTATACCCAACCTCAGGGTGCAGAGGAACAAAGTGAAGTCTTGTTTAAAATGTGTGAGCGGTCATGTGTCTTACTCTCCGTCCCCAGGTCCTGTCTAGTAGGCTGGATTGATTGTTCCTCCTGCCTCTGCTGTAGTGAACTCCATTGACTGTACAGAGAACAATGTCACAGCCGAAAGAGGTCATTCTCGTGGCTGTGCATGCTTGGTTGACTTCTGTCATCCTTTGTTTCCCAGAGTGGCCATCCCATTCCAAATTGAGAAATTGCTCACCTCATTTTTGTACTTAGAAATTTTGCTTATTCAGAGAAATGATTGAGAGAGCCTACAAAACCTCATTCCTGATCTCAGTTAGTTTAACAATGCGATGCAATGACAATCACATAATCCTAAAACAGTCCGACGTGTGTGTTCTGCCTCAGGCAGCAGCTTTCTGAAACCCTCTGAAGACTTGCACAGACAGAAACAGGTGTGAAGAACAGTGTATCACCAGTTTCTAAAGTAAACACGCAAGTTGCAGAACAAGCATTGCATCCAACCTATAGTCAAATAACCACTGCTATTAATTTTGTATTGCCAGTGGGAAAACATCCGCAGGATACACTCTTGTACTAATACACTGATTCGAACTGAGAGAAAAGGAATTTTTTTTAAAGTATGCTCGAAGATTATCTTTAGTTTTATTTGGTTTTAATTGGGATAGTCATTTTGTTTCCAGTGACATTTAGGGAGGTCGGGAAAGTTTTAAAGAGGCACTCATCTTTAAAGATTGGTTTTAATATGTTTTAAGATTTATAAATCTGTTAACACATTGTTATCCAGTTCAGTACATGATTGGACTGAGAGAGAGCTTTGTCTGATGATGTCACTGACAATGGCCTCTGGCACTGGCTAAAACCTCCTTCTTGCCAGGTATTGTTCAAATCACATCACTTTGGGTGATTCACTTACCCTCACCGCATGTGTATGGCATAGACAACATTCCTGTGCCCAATTATGCCTGAAGAAGTGGCTTCATATTAATGTCAAATATCTATTTATAGGGCCCTTGCGTCTATATTATTGCTTCTGTAAAATATTGATGAATGCTTTAGAGGCATATTATAAGTGTCATATGATAACAACATTTGTTTAAAATTTTACATGGCGAACACTGGTTTTTTTTCCTTTTCAGGTATGCAATTTTATGTGGTTATGTATCTGAGTTTGAGGGATTGCAAAACAAGATTAACTGTGGACATCTATTCAAGGTATTTCTTGGTGTTCAAAATGTTTCATTTTACTAACTGATATGAGATTTCTCGGCATGTTAAACTCCAGGGATTTAGTTTTGTGTTTAAACAACAGAATATGAAGTGGTTAATACTGTAATAAAAAGAATCAAACCATTTGAGTATTATTCAAGATGTACAAGAACCCACATAGTAGATGAGTGTTGGCTTATTTTGGCCATGAACTCACTGACATCATAACATATGACGGACTAGGCAGTCAGCACTCTCTAATGACTTCGGGGACAGGGGTGGGGGGATACAGGGTCTGATATAAAGCTTAAAATTACCATGATGCGGGAATAAAATAAGCACCTTGTGGACATACCATGTCCTGTTTGCTGTTGGCTTTTGTGACTCAATAACTAATCTCTCTGACTGGGTAATTGTGGTGGAAGAAAATGGCTCTTCCCTGTGCCCCAGTGCCCAGGACTCACTCCGACAGTGCCGAGGGAAGCCATCCGTGGCCTCTCCAGCGCTGCTGTTTCTCTTACATTAAATCCTGCCTTATGCCATCTTGTTCCAATAAACTCGCTTCTGGGCTGGGGTCGGTGCGTCTTCATTGGGAAAGTCAGGACCAAAAGACATTTGACTTGGGTGTATTCTGGTTTCACTGTGGCGCTGGGTTTGGGATTAAGCATGGTGTGCCTAAGGCACAGGCGCTGCTTTGGTTCCAGGTGCAGGAATCTCAGTTTGGAATTATTGCCGAGATTTAGTTGTGTGAGTGGTCAGGAATGGGGAAGTGGCTGAGACACTGTCAGGCCATGCTGGGTTCCTTAGACTGAGCGCTGCTCCGCGGCCGTATCTGAAAGCGGGAGCTGATTTGGCTGTGATTGTTTCCAGGAACATCTGGACAAAGCCATCCAGCTCTTACCGGAAGAGCCCTTGCTGTACTACCTCAAGGGAAGATACTGTTACACTGTGAGTTAAGCCTTTGCTTAGAACTCTTGAAGACAATGTGGCTATTCAGTGCATTTTCAGTGACTTACTTCTCATTCTTTTCTGGTTTTACCTATTGCACACTAGATAGCATTGTAAAAATAGTTTTTAATGTATGACTTGTATGTTTTTAAATCGAATATCAATTTTAAATTATAATGTATATATTTTATCTTTTATAAGCTTACATTTTATGTGCTATATCTAGGGGTATGTGTATGTTTGTGTGTACATTTTTTTCTTGTCTTTCCAAGGAATTTCAGAAGTCATACTTTGGGCTGTCTCAGGTTGAGATCAGCTATCACACACCTGCAAGCATTGTGCCCATGGTTCTGTGGAAAGAAGATAAATACTTTTTTTTTTGTAGTGCTAGGGATCAAACTCAGGACTGCCTTACATATTCACCACTAATCTACAGTCCCAAAAATTATCTCCAAGCATGATATGGGCCAGGGTTCCTTCAAAGAACTTAACTTGATGGGGTATGAGATATGGAAATAGCTCAACTAAGGACAACTGGTCAACCTAAGACCTAATGTCTTAAATAACACTGTTAGCTTACAGGAGAGTTACAAAATGTAAAAGTGTATCCAAAAAGGTGCATGAAGAAGGTGTAGGACTTGAAGATATAATTCATAAGTAAGGAAATTAGATTGCACATAAGCAGGAACCTTTTCATTAAGGCTGAAAGAGGATTGGGAAGAAGGCTCTCTTTTTATTGAAGACCACGTGTGAATTTTATGCTTTCTATTTCTTATTGTATCTCATCTATTTTAAGGTACAGCTACTTCTATAGCTACAGAGGGCTAGCGCTGCACAAATAAAAAGATGCATTAACCATGAAAGAATTTGTAAGTTATTATGCCTTCTAATACCAGCCTCAAAACCATAAAATAAAAATTGACTAAATTATGCAAATACACATATATTTGCAAGTTGACAAAATGCTGGTAGACTTCACATGCTCTTGTCTCCCTCTGAATCACACTCACCAATTCTACAAGATTGACTGGCCGGCAAGGGTCAGAGACCTGTCTGTGTCCGTCTCACTCCTTACCCCAGTGCTGGGCTTACAGTTAAATATCCTACCCCGTGCCCTTACTTGAATGCTAGCCACAGGGCACAAGTCCTTATGTTTGTATAGCAAACCATCTTCCCCCAACCTGCCTTTTTTGATAATTTATACATCAATAATACAAAATTATTTATATACAAAGCCCATAATAATATTAAGTTTCATATCTAATAATATATTGAAATGACTGAACTTCAATTATACTGATAAAGCAATGTTAGGTGAAAAAAATCACGAAAGGAAATAAAAAATGTGATGTACTTTTTACGAAGTTTAGAATAACAAAATTAAGCAAATAAATAAATAAAATTGTGTAGAATAAGTTGTGAATAAATTTGTGTAGAAATGTGGATAAAATTATGTAGAAATGCACTAGGTTGGTCACACCAGGGATTGAACCCACACCCACGTGCATGCTCCGTAAGTGCTCTGCCTCAGGACTACGTTCCTAGATCCACGGGTATGTATTTCTTTTTATCAGAAGATGACTACCTAGAAATTTTAAAAAATAGGTTGAGAGGATGTTTGATGTCACCGAGAGGACACGAGCTTTATCAATGCCTTTAAGGAGCATTTCTGAAATACATGCCCAATATTCATATTTGGCGAAAGTGAAAACATAAATAACAATATGAAATTGAATTTGATTACTTTTTTATTGTGCGAGCACTCCATACATGCACACCCTGTCCCTTTGTCTCCACCTTCCCTTCCCCCCCCACCGACACTCTTCCCTCCCAACTTCAATTACTCTTTGTCTGTAACCCACTGAGTGTGTGCATGGGTACAGGCGCATCTACTGGAGCATCTGCCAGTAGGCTTTCAGGGCTCTGAGTCGTAAGGAAGGATTCTCAGCCCTCTAAACTCCCTAGACTGAGAATCGTGATTTTATATCCATCTCTAAGAAAGTGGCTGACGCAGGAGGCTAGTTGGTAGCATGAAGTAGGCAGAAGTAGAGCAGAGGCAGGTCCTGTCACTACCACATCCTGTGATGTATGAGTTATGAGTGTGCTTATTAACATGTGTTATGGATATGCACAAAGATACATATATGCATACACGTGTAACTGGAGAGAGGTGATCATTCAAAGGTGACTAGCTTCCTAAACGTGGTGTTCCTTTGTATGTGTAGGTCTCAAAACTCAGCTGGATTGAGAAAAAAATGGCCGCTACTCTGTTTGGGGAAATACCATCTTCAACGGTTCATGAGGCTTTGCATAACTTCCTTAAGGTGTGTTTGTCTGTTCTTTTAGTGCCGTGCCACCTCACCCACATCAGTGTCATGGCAAGGAAATAGTTCTCGCCATGTGCGGAGCTCTAATTGAAGCCCCAGGTTGAACTGTAGCCTTGACAGTGTTGCCTTTAAGTCTCTCGAGATTTGAGTCATGCTTCAAATAGAAACTTTTGGGATCTGAAATTATGCTCTTGGTCCTAGGAACGTCACACTAACTTTTTATTTTGTTTTGTTTTGTTTGTTGGCTAGTTGGTTAATTGGTTGGTTGGTTTTTTTGAGACAGGATTTCTCTGTGTAACCCTGGCTGTCCTGGAACTCAGTCCATAGATCAGGCTGTCTTAAAATTCAAGAGATCCGCCTGCCTCTGCTGGGATTAAAGGCGTGCGCCACCATACACTGCTGACAAACTACTTTTTAAAAGAATTTGGTAGCCTAAATAAACCTGTAGGTAGAGCAACCCTTATTACCAAATCTGAGAGCGAATTATTGGACTTGCTCCCAGCATTCCTCATGAGTTTCACACGGAACCAGTATAATGTTAAAGGATTCTGTTGTGTGACTTTTCTGGGGAGATGCGAACAAGTGTTCACTGGGACCAGACAGGACAGAGACAACAAATTGATTCCGCCCAAGCATAGCTGGGTGAGTCAGAGTTTATGGGGCTACTTATGGGGCACAGGTGACCAGAGGCAGCTGCACTGAAAAGAACATCCCAGTGTGGGTGGAGCCTGGAGAAGCGCCTCCCGAGCTCCCCTCCAGCTTGCAGGCTGCTCCACTGAGCAGTCTTGCTTTTTCCTGCCTTGAAGTGGGGCCTTGTGAGTCTTGTAACTCTCTGGGTTTCCTCAAGTCTGGTCAAAGTCCCTGAGTTTCGTGTGTCTGCTGAGTTTAGCTTCCTGAGTTTTGCAAGCCTCCTTTTTCCCTCCAGGAAACAATGTTTCCGGTGGAGCAAACAGCCTCCCAGGAGATGCGAGCAATTATCTTACCAACCACTTCTAAGTTGCAGACCCTTCTGGCAGAGGTTCTTCAGGCATCAGATCAAACCAGTTGTTTTTTTCCCCTACTTTAAAGTGCATAATTGCTTTGTTGATTCAACTTTGAACAAGTAAATATAGTATTGTACACATCTAAGCATGTGCTGTATCCACCCATTAAATTAGCTTCCTATTCATCTGGTCTCTGCCTTACTCTGGAAGCAGTAAGAACCCTGAAGTTCTTTAGGTATGTCTCTTCCCTTAAGTTCTGTGTCCCTCCAGGCTAGGGGCTGGTGTCAGGTTGGGTGCTGGCATGCCTCTCCACCTTGGCAAATTTTGGCTCCCCGGCAAAGACCATCTTGGATCCTTAGAAGAGTTCTCTAGAAGCCCATCTCTAAAGGAATTCTTAGGTCCCGGAGATTAGGAACTGTGGGTGGAAGAGTAGAGTTGGGCCCATTGAAAGTACCGACTCTGTTTACTAGTAGGACTAGCTGTTTCAACGATCCTGTTTCCTTTCAGAGAGCTGCATGTGATAGATGGTCACATGTTATTGAAGTCATGTGACATGTGTTCCTAAGTTTTCAAGCCTTAGTCTATTAAGAAAATGCTTGCCATGGGGTAACAGCCATGCTCTACTCTCATTTCCTAAACAGACTGTGGCATGTATAAGGGAGAGTGTGTTGCCAGATGTCTTTGTTCTCAAAGGAAAAGAGGAGAGAGGGTAGCACAATAAAAATAAAGGCAATGATTATGTATGAAATCATCTTGTTGCCCTGGGAAGCTCAATGAGCGTAAAGGAAGCATCACTCCACTTTAATGGCTATTCTTGAAAGCTTTGTTTTTATGCAAAGATACTTTCACCAATAAAAGTATTCAAACATGGAAAAAAAACCAAGATTCTTGTGACAGTTTGGCCCCTGGAGTCTGATTTATGGAAATATGCCCCTTTTTGTTATGACCAGCATCCTTGTTATAGTGTTGCCGTGTTATCCTCCCATCTGCTTTCTCTTAATTCAGGCTGAAGAGTTGCAACCTGGCTATTCTGTGTCCAACTACATGTTTGTGGCCAAGGTAAGGAAGAGACCTGCTTTAAGATCACTTGGAGTGCTTTACAGAAAATGTAGGTTACCTTTAATATGGATTCTTTTCCATTTCTAGTGTTACGTTGATCTCGAGGAATCTCAGGATGCTTGGAAATTCTGTAACTTAGCATTATTACTGCCTATTGTTACCAAAGAGGTGAGTCCAGACAGCGAGAGTGGGTCTGAGGACCTCAGCGGTACTGAGGGCCAACTCTCTTCTCCTGTCTAGCCTTCGTTTGTGTTATTAAACTTTCTTTCTAAGTTGTGTAGGTACTATCAGGAATTCAGTTTCCTTTCTGTGGAGAGCATGGGATAAAATGATTTATATGTATAACCACCTGTCTCTGAAAGTTTTTTCTGTCTCACATAGGCCCAGTTAGCGATTTGGCTAACTAGGTTCCTCGCTGCCAAACTCACAGCGCCACGAGTTGCAGTGCAGATGCTTCTCCGTTAGTTTCCTCCCCTGCCTGCGGGCTGTCATAGCGTCCCTCATCTCCCTTCTGGCACCTGTAACGTTTTTGAATTACACTTCTCCGTGAGTGTATCTTTGCCTCCTAACAGGATATTCTAAACCTGCTGCTTAGAATATCGAGCTGCTACTCAGACATGCGTATAAACAACTTTACAGTCCAAGAATCCAAAACTACAACATTTCTATGACTTATGTGAGCATCTCTTCACTTTAAGGGACTAGTCACAGATCCTAAGAAACATTCTTTCAAACAGAAAATAAAATGAATTTGTATGTCTGGGGCAGTATGTAATGGTTGCTGAATGAAATACTGACATCATCAATAGCCTCACCACTGTTTGCCTAGTGATAACATTCAAGTCCAGCGCCCTGGAGCGTACTGAGGAGGCTCAGAGGGGAAAGAAATTCTAACACTTTGATTTACAGTGACAGACGTACTAATCTGAAGGAGAAGCTGTAGTTTAAATTGCTATAATATTTCCAGATGACATTAATCACCCAGAGGAGAGTTATCTGCAGTATAAGCTACTTGGTAAAGTCAATAATGCATTGTCTAACATTTATGAAACATGATAAAGTGGCATATTTGCCTATGTAATCTATGGATATATGGCTCTTGTGGGGTAATCCTGCTGTTAGGGCTATGACTTCACACTGCCCAGAGATGGGGTCGGCACCATGTTATCACTGGGAAAAGCAGTGTGTCAGCCTACGTGAAGACTTTCCCTCCGACACCCCACTCCAGATGTCACGGAGAAATACCTTCCTACATCGGCTGCCTTCTCGTAGTCCGAAGAAATCTGCAGCCTATTTGTAATAGTCAGTCAGGAAATGCACACACATCAAAGACAGTCAGTATCAAAGTACTTAGAGCACCAAGACAAGCGTGTGGCATTTCATTGTACATTTGTGTTTTCTTTCTAGGACAAGAATTCACATAAAGAGGTGAAAAAAATAATCTGTTCTTTGAAGAGGTAAATAAAAGAATTTGTTCTTCAGCAATCCCAATACGGTCTTCTAGAGTATCAGAACTGTATTTTTATAATCCTTTTGCCCTTAATGTAAAGATCATGTGTTCTCATTTGATTTGAAAATATAATCATGCCTTCTGCAGCAGCTGTACCACAAAACAAATCATGATGTTTGGAAACAGTATTTAATGTTAGTATGTAATGATCCCTAAAAATGTATGCTTCATTTTTTTATGTCAATAAACTATAGCCTTTAGAATATTTGTGTAACAAATACTTAACAGTCTAGTAAACTGCACCCCAGTGAATATAATCATTGTTTCAATAGACTTTATAAAATAAAATAATTTCACTCGTAAGGATGAAAATGTAAACACTGAGCACAGTTGGTAGAAAAGGAAGAACAAAAGAAGTATAGCTAGTAATCAGAGAATTGTAAATAGAATTACAATAAAATACTGTTTTACCATCAAACTTTGAAGTTTTTTTTCTTTTTTTCAGGAAATGGTCAATATTAACAGTATTGCCTTAAGATGAAATGCGTTTATATACTATTAGTGGGGGAGGGATATTTTTGTTTCAAACCTTGGATTAAAATATATCTAAGGACTAAAAACTATATTGTTTAATCCTGCAATGTCACCTCACAGAAATAACCCTAAAGAGAAAGCAAGGTGATTTATGTGTATTCCCAACAACATAACAAGAGAACAGTTAATCATACTATATTTTCACTATGGTAGAAATATTTTGATACTAAAAATAATTATATGCTAGGCATGGTGGCACACTCATTAATCCCGTGACTCAGGAAAAGGAAGTGTTTGATCATGGGTTCTAGGGGGCCTGGTTAAAAAACAAGACCCAACCCTGTCTCAAAAAAATATATACACTAATATAAGATATAATATAATGTGATATGATGTGATATATGATATGATGTGATATATGATGTGATGTATGATATGATGTGGTGTGGTATGATGATGTGATGTAATATGACGTGACGTGATATATGAAGATCATGAGTCCAATATGGATGTAAAAGCAAGAGTGTTTCATGTGTGTGTGTGCGTGTTTGTGTGTGTGAGTGTGTGTTTGTGATAGGGAAATGCATAGAATATCTTGTAAATAAGTATATAGATGTGATGTCAACTGTGTGAAAATATGCCAGAAAAGTATTAATAGAAAATAAACTAATGCTAGTTTTGTATCTGTGACTCTGCATTTTATTTGTTTATTTCTCAATTTTTAATAATAAACTAATACAATTTTGAAAAATGAAACTTAGTTAGTGATTGGTAGAGATCCTCTGGTATCCTTTAACCCTCCAAGAAATTAGAGTGAAATTTTCTGTTTGCTCTTCCCAACACACACATGCATGCATGCACTCACAGACACACACACACACACACACACACACACACACACAAAACCCCTCACTTAGAGATGCCAGCTCATTAAAGGGAATTGTTTCTTCTCAGATAGTGGCCAGTTGAGGAACCAAGTCAATCACTTTCCTCCCCTCTGATCCACTGTGGATGGGGGAGAAAGCATGTGGGTCACATCATGGACTCTGCAAAGGCCACAGTGCTATTGAGAGTGGCTGGCAGGCTCTAAAAAGCTAAAAATAATAAATAATACTCATAATAATCTGCAAGCTGAGGCAGGCTGCTCCAGCTGGCAACAAATGACCTAGTGTTAGTCATATCATAAGCTTCATGGAAGCAGCTCTGCAGCTCCTCCCAGTAGAAAACGGTTGGAGACTTTTCTCTAAGGAATATGAAAAATAGAAACAGTGTCCTGGTAAATAGAAGGAGGGTCTGGGGAGGAGAAACAGTGTCCTGGCAGACAGGAGAGACTTGAGACTCTGGTCATAAGACCTAATGTTCATTTATTTTAGCAAAATTTCTATTTGGTCCCTGAGGTCAATATGTCTTCAGTGGGCAAGTTGATAGCCACTGGGCAGGCAATTGGTGTGGCCGTTCTCTAAGTCCTTGCCCCAGCAACAGTGTGGCATTCTTACTTTAGTCTTTAGAGCAGTGATGATTTCCCATCCGTGTTGCCGTTTCTCCCAGAGTGTTAGTAGAAGACACCCCCCCACACACACACCGTAGTCAACACCTCCAAATATTAGCACTAAATCCAGGCTGTCTGCCCCATCATGCTCATGCATACAGCACATATACACACATACACACACACACACACACACACACACACACACACACATACACTTACATCCCTGTTCCAGAACACTCATGTCTGACTGCTGCCCTCACCAAACCATGTGATGCAAGACCATGTCATGAGACCAACTCAAGTGTCTGCATTAAATTTCTTTGCCTCCTAAAAGCTATTTTTCTTGCACAACCAACCACATTGCATAGAGAATATGCCATCCCCCTCCAGGGAATTTCACACAAGTTCATCTGTATGGATGCTAGTTTTCTGTGGTTACGTCACTCACCACTCAGAATGCCTGACTTTGGAAAAGCCAGAACACATTCAGCATGCATGAAGTGGGAGCCGCTTGTGGTGCATCACTGAGGTCAGGCTAACAGGACCCTTCCCCCTTAAAGACGAAGTGAAAATGCTCTGACCTCTCAGGAGACTTCACGTCCAGTGCTAGGAAGAGGGAATTCAAATCCAGAACCTTGAATTCCTCCTAAAGATACGAATCAAAACTGTATGTTACAATTTCTCATAAAACATTAAAGCAGTAACATAGTATTCTGCTGACGTTTTAATGCTTTGGTGTCCCTTTAGCCGTGCTGTTAGCTGTCCTTCCTGAGGGACAGATGGCTTCCACTGTGATAGGAAAACTGAAGTCACTTCAGTTGTGCCCAAACCTTCTAGATAAACTTTTTATTTTGTAATGGTTTTATACTTTTGAATTAGAAAATGCACTAGTTAAAGCTGAAAGGGGTCATAAATACATCTTCAACACCAAACTTCCCATTTTAACAATACATAGCTCATTGAAAGCTGAAAGGGGTCATAAATACATCTTCAACACCAAACTTCCCATTTTAACAATACATAGCTCATGCTCTGATGTAAGAGGAACACAGTCAGGGGCCAGAGAATCCTACTGGCCAACCCGGGACTGAGATCCAGATCTTGGCATTTCATGTGTTCTCAAAGCTGCCTTGTGCCTAGGGCTGTTTATTTGTCAGGATTGGAGTCCAGTGTGTCTGGCCTAGAATGGGCGTTCTGAGGACAGTAACTTGCGTGGTGACTCATAGCTCCCTAGTTCTTCCTGTATCAACTCATTTTATACCCCAGTAGTTCTCAGCCTTCCCGTTCCTGGGACCCTTTAATACAGTTCTTCATGCTGTGGTGACCCCCAGTCATAAAATTATTTCCTTACTATTTCAGAACTGTAATGTCGCTCCTGTTATGAATTGTAATGGAAATATATGATGAAAATCCCCAAAGGGGTCGCAACCCACAGGTTGAGAATAACTGTCATACACCAACCCTATGAAGAAATGGCATTGGATTTTTTACCCCTGTCTACATCATGGAAACCAGAACACAAGATACACACTGCCATACCCTGAGCAGAGACAGAGAGACTAGAAGCAGGGGACGTGCCAGGATCCATGCTAGGGTCTAAGCCACAGCTTACTCTTGTTGGTAAATGGGGGGAATGTGGTCAGGGGCAGAAGTGGAGGGGGCAAAAGACAGAAAGTAGCAAGAAGACAAGAAGACACTAAAAAGGGAAGGGAGGGTAAGGTAGGGGTGTAAAGTACAGAGAAAGTGTAAAAAAAATTATATTAACAAGTGTTTTCTAGGTTTATATCATAGATTTCTGACAACCTATCATATAATCTTCTAATATGTTAAATCTTCCTCACATGCTTACCTTAGCCCCTCCCCTAGACAAGAGGAGAGGATAGTGGAGCCTAATTGAATGGCATGCCCTATTTTGTCTGTGTCGCTGTAGACTTGATAGCTTATTAATTGTGATGAATAAGGCTGGTTTCCTCCACAAAGACAGGAGGTTTTAGAAACAAGGAAAGTTAATATCTTGATGTTCTGTGATCTTGGGTCTCTCCAGCATAGATTTGGCTTTAGATTCCTGCAGCCAAATGACTAAGGATGAGTTTTTTTTAAACGGCCATATTGAGAACCTCCTGGCCTAAAACTAACTGGCATGTATTTGACATGTATCATCTGACAAATTTTAATATATGTGTATACCGAGGAAATTTCAAGCACAATCGAGAACATTTCTATAACCTCAAACTCTTGTCCCTGTCCTTTGTAGTCCTTCCTCCCTGCTTCTGGCCCTGCTCCCTGCTGCAGCCACACAAAATCACCAATCTGCTCCCTGTCGCTGTAGTTTGAGTCCGGTGATAAAGTATAACTCAGAAGTAGAAAAAGAGTGAACTACTACATACTACAAAGTGGGTGAATCTCAAATGAACTATGCTTAAAGAAGTCAACAGATCCATATGTGTGTATAAAGAGATCCGTGATGTATGTTGACATAAGACTCTTCAGAACTCGATCTGCAGTGACACCTTCTAGCAGAGTGAAAGCTAGCCAGCAGGGAGCAAGGTTCCCCAGTTAGTTCAAGATTGATTTCTATGCTCTGCAACCAGAAAGTGTCAGGGCTTCAGCAGTAAGCTCTCATCGAGCTGTGGGGGGCAATCAATGGCAATGACTTCTATCCTCTGGGGCCTGAGTAGTTGCTGCAAGAGATGTCCCGTGCCTGGCACTGAGATTCTTGTTTAATGACTCCCATCTCTGGGAAGAACATTGTCCACCCATGTGGGGCTCCTTTCAAGCTCTTCTTAGAATAATCATAACATAGACTTTTAGGGCCTTTACTTCCTCTTCGTGTGTCTCTTATATCACACAAGTTTCCATACACTGTATTTCCGCCTTTATTCAATGGAAGATAACTTTTAATTTCCGTTTGCATTTCTTCTTTGACACATAAGTTAGTTAGAAATCTGTTCTTTTTATTAAAAAAATCTATTTTGGGAGTT